GCGCCCGTCCCCACGCATAGCCTTGCGTGCGCGCGTCTCCAGTGCGTGCGCTCCAGATATGGCTGAGAAATTTCACAGTTTGCATAATATCACACTCTTGTCTGCAAAACACTTCAACATGCAAATAACCCGCGTGTATTTGGGTCCAAGTCTTAAGGCTGGCACGAGCTCCGGGCAGAATCAAAACGTGAGATCTAATTAATGTGTAAATGATGCTATGTGTGAAAAAGAACAGCATTGGAGCGCAGTGTTTTAAACGGCAATACATGATGAATGTGGGAACTGTGGACGTAAACACATTTGTTACCGTCAATCAGCGTGTTTTTTTCACCTTCGGAGAGTTTTATTTTGGCTGCAGATCCACGGCGCACTGTGGTGTCTTTGTTGTGGCGCGTAAAGATGCAGCTCAAGTGCGCTTCCCATGTGCTGAAATAAACATGGTCTACTTGTTACGGGAGCGGTTTGTGGACCCCAAAGCACGGACTAAGACGTTGTAGGATTCACAATAAAAAAAAGTGATTTTATTCCCACACACAAAATAGAAAGGCAGATGAGCCAGCCACGCCCCCTGTCACAAGCAGGGCCTGAATAACAGTAACAGGGAAGCAGATAAAGAAACACAAACCCAACATAGAACACAACTCAAATTAAAGATACACTGTAAACCCTGACAAGTAAAGTTTACTTGAAAAAACCATGGAAATAAATTGCGTATTAACTTCACTTGAATTCCTTGAGTACATCGTTTACTTGATATTACCAAGTAACTCAAGTGATTGCAATAAAGTTTAAATTTCGACTTATGCTCCGACCGGGAATCGTACTCAGAACCTTGTAGTTGAGAGGTAATGGTGCTACCCACTCAGCCACCAGGCCACCCTGACACTGACACACCTGCCTCATTAAAGACTCTATACGTCAAAATGTCAAAAGTGAGGCTTACTTGAACAGAAACAGTTCAATTCAAAGAAAACCCTGAGTGACATAGGCAAGCTTTAAATAAACTAACAATAAATGAGTAATATTTACTTACTGGGAAAAATCTATTTAAAATAACTTTGATATCTGAAGTAGGATTGAAGTTAGGGTTTACAGTGTAGTTCTTTAGTTGCCACTCTTGGTGTCGTTAATATATCAATACAACACAATCAAGCCTTACTAAAGATGGGGAACTTATCTTGATCAACTTTCTCAGTGTTGTTTATCCACAAAGAGTTTTGCAAAGTCAAATGTTGTGAACAGTTCAGACCACAACACACTGTCATCATCTTAGAAAACATTTTTTTGCATACTTCCTACCCCTATTTTTACTTTTCTGTCTGAAAAGCTGATACAAAGAGGTGACTTTGGATTTTTTTTTGAGGACTATATGGATTTTAGCCCATGTTTGGGGTTTAAAAACTACTCCAGCTTGTCTAAGTTCATGTTTGCTGACATCTTGTGGACAAACAACGACATTTTCAGTCCAGTATCAAATCATAAAAAATGCACTGATTTTACAGCCATGCATTTTAGATTTCATTCATTATTCTCTCCATGCAGGTGTGTGTGAAAAACAGACGTACAATGCTAGCCTGGTCTTACCAAATCATACTCATTTCATGTAGGGAAATAATATTTGACCAGAGTTTACGGATGGCTAAGGCCAGGTTAGTACAACACCAGTGCAGGCAAACAATACAGCTGTGGACACACAATGTGGACAAACATTTTCCTATCATAAAACAATGCACTAACTTTACAGCCATGTATTTTAGATTTAATTCATTATTCACTCCATGCAGGTATTGGGAAAGCATAGCCACAGTTGCCGAAAGGCAGACTGATAGTGAGTCTAATCTACACTCTCACCACCAACAATTCACACCAGATTAATGATTGGCAATGTGGGCGTAGTGTCTTGCCCAAGGACACCACAATAGTTTGTATGTCTGTCTTTTCAGCGGTCTCTCATCACAGAAGTTACCAGGCCAACGCACCATGTGTTTAGGCACATGGTGATGGTTAGGAAACAAACATATGCAGGTGAAACTTGGTAAATTGGAATATTATTCATAAATGATATATAATATAAACTCACTTTACGCAAAGTGACTTATGGCAAGTCTTTGTTGGTAAAAAAAAAGAAGATAATTGTGGTTTACAGTCCATTTTCAAAACATTCTAATTTTCTAATTATGTATTATTTTGAGTTTTTCACAGCTGTGAGCCATTTATCAACATTATAACAAATAAAGGCAGGAAGAAATCTCACTTCTGTCATTTATTAGTTTCTCATCGTACGTTTAATCACATAAGTAAATTGACTTTTGAATGGTATTTTAATTTTCTGAGTGTCACCCGTAAGCCACCCACTGTCACAGACCACTGCCAATCACTCACACCAATGTGAGAAAAGTGTTTTGCCTAATGACACAACAACAGTTTGCATGTATTTTGAGTTTGGAAGCAGTATTATGTATCATTATTTTTTTGTTAAGTACTATGTAGCTATGACCTGTATGTGAATTTATGTCAGGATGATCTAACAAAAGCAAGTTTCAGCCCAATCCTTTTTTTGGTTGTAATACAGTCAGTGAATGTATTATCTGTTATTAATGAAACAATTGACCAAAATAAATACAGGTCTGGACCAGGTCCGGACAAGCGCAGGCCTTGGTCCATATTTACTGAATCGTCTGATACATAGTTTGGCTCTGACCAAACAAAGGACCTTTGTTCTAGAGTATTCTTTTTTGTTTCAATCTTGGAAGTGAGTTTGTGTCTCCCTTGCTCTGGTGCTTTTAACACTTAAAGCTGGGGGACCTGACTTTCACAAATCCAATCCACTTAATGTATATAGCACATTTCATAAATACACAGTTTCCAAAGTGTTATACAATACAGACTAAAACATTAACTGAACATATAATTAATGAATGCATCTAGCTAATTTGTAGATCATAAAAAGTTTGGTTGTTCTTACATGTCCGTCTTGTTCAATATTAATTCCTTTTATCAAATTGATTTTAAGGTTTTATTTTTTTCCTGGAGGCTTGTTTTCTGCTGTATTTTGTTTTTGCGAGAGGGAGAGAGAGAAAGAGAGAGAGAGACCAGAGAGAGGGAGACAGACCAGAGCGAGATAGATCAGAGAGACCAGAGAGAGAAAGCGGAGAGAGAGAACAGACAAATAAACAGAACCTAGTTTGCATCATGCTGTCACATCTTTAGATCATCTATTTCAGACATCAAAGGAAAAAACGGAGGACCACTCAGGACATGATAGAGTGACTCACAGGCCTCTTAAGTATGCATAAGATAACATGTTTTATAATCAGATAAAGACATTATGTTGTGATGTGATTTAACAAAACGCAATATTGTTGATGTAAAAATAAATGTCAGGTACCTCACCTTTATGCATATATATATATGCAAAAACAACCCATAAACGTATCTCAAGATTTGGTTTTGTAAATTCTCTTAGTTTCCGATCAAGGAGTTTTCCAGCACCATGAAAATATTTTATTCTCCTTTTTCCTCTTCCAAAATCATCAAAACAACATTTGGCATGATACATACAGTAAAGGAATAGTGTTAGTACATTAGGATACAACGATAGGCAGTGTCTTTAGCTTGTTTGAGAAAATTCACAGTGACAGCGTTTTCATACTCAAAATAAGTAAAAAAAAATACATCTGATCAATTGTAACCTTACACACATAATATTTGACACATTTTCACATTACATTAAAGAACATATATTATGCATGATTTGTGTTTGTTTTGGCCTTTAAAAATAATCTTCTAACTGTTTACTTTGGCAGAAATGATGGTGAATGAGTTACACTTCCATCTAGTGGCACTTGCATTGCCACTATGCCTTCTAAATGCATTCTGTGTATATAATTACATATGCATAATGTACATATTTGATCTAATTGATGTGAAGAAACACAGTTATAAAGAAAGCTAATGGACTGGAGACATTTGCAAAACTATGTGGAGGTAGTTGTAGCAATAATTATGTTTTAAAAGAAAGAAAACAACTCTGTCCATGACATCATCGTCTGTCGATGTGTCATGTGTGGCCATAGCTGGTGGAAGCCTCATTCTTGCACAAACTAAGCAGTAGGAATGGCAGAAATTATAATTTATTTGGTGATATGTAATATGTAACCCATATAAACATATTAACTTATATGAAAAAAAATACCCAAATGGCCAAAATGTTCATTGCAGCATTTTAGATTATTGCACATTAGAGAAACAGTAGCATTAGCTCACAGGTGAAACTCACAAAATCACAGTTGAAAAAAAACTCAAATTAAAAGCAATACATTTTCCATGTATTGTAAGCCATAATCAAAATGATAACCGACTTAGCATATGTCACTTTGCACATAATGAGTCTATACCAAAATAGCTAATACCAATGTTATTTTTTCATATAGTCATAAAAAAAAAAAAAATTGAAGCCGGAGGAAAAAGAATGTTTAGCAAATGTAATTGCTGGCAAAGATTGTGGCGCTACTCCCCACGGGCTCAGTTAGCGGCAAAGGAGATGGCTAAAGCTAAACTCAGATCCAATCGTTTCAATCTGCAAAAGGAGTTAACTCTTCCCACCTGTTAACGGAGCACAATGGAGCACGTCCAGACAAAATGTTAGTACGAAATGTAATTTGTACTATGATGTGGTACGACCAGGCTACTGCAATACATAAAACCAATGAATTATATTGTAATGAGTTTGAATTTGACAGAAGCGGCGGGGGGACCTGTGCCAGATCCTGATTAAATAAAACATGTATGGAGTCATTCAAAACAACTCTACGTGTATATGTTCGATGAGTGGGCCATTTTGCAACACGGTGAAAAACTGCATAATACGTGCCCTTTAAGACACACACATGTAACAGAAGAGTAGCTGTACAAACACGCCACAGTGACAGCACGGTGACAGTCAGAGGAGCTTGCAGCAGATCCCGCCCTGCTCTTGTCACACTGCTGCCTCTTTTGTTCTATGATTTGGGGAATGCAGAGTTTCGGAAGAGTTGCAGACAGTTGACGGTGATGAGCGCTCCCGTCAGCTGCCTCCACTGTCGGGTCGTGGGGTTTTTCATCTTGTCCAGAACCAAGTGCAGGTCCTGAATCATGTCCTTGTAACTATTTCTGTGGCGCTGGCTCCAGGAGTAGAGGAAGTCATAGGCGGGTTTCCACATGGCCTGAAACACACATGAGCGTAACCTTGAGACATCTAATACAACATTAAAGCTGGGGTACATAAAACTTGTAACTATGTAATAAACTCCTTTTCTTACTCTCAATACAGTTTGGTTCTATCACTAGTTTTTGCAGGTATGTATGGTTGGCCTCCGTCACAGGGTCTAGGAACATCTTGGGGAAGTTTCCTTGCCTGGTACTTTTTGTGTATTATTTCCCATAAAACAGTCATATACAGTATACTTTTTTCAGTAAAACCTGGGCTTTTGTAATATACATGCTGTACTTCTGTCATATGTATGAAATAAAAGTTATGGAATCACAAAGACAAAAAATAAATAAAAATAAAACAGAAAATAAATTTAACTAAAATGTATTGAAAAAAACACACTTTTTAGACTGTATATATCAATTTTTTTAGACCAAAACATGAACAAGAGAAGACCACCCGCACTAAGCCAATCAGCTCTCAGTCCACAGTGTTGAATATTGTCTTACAATATGTCAGTGTGCCGCAGGGCAGCTGTGGCTACAGTTCTAGTTTATCACTACTGTGTATGAAGTGAAAGAATATCAACTTGTGTCTTTGAGTGTCCTGAAACGCACAATACAAAACTGATGCATTATTATTATTATTACAAGCTATTTCTTATTAATGCCAATAATGTAATGTTGTCTAAAAAGAAGGCTGTGTGATGTGGTCTGAACTATAGGATAAGATCAACTTTTGTTCGTCCCACAGTGGGGAAATTTCAAACCTGTTTCAAACTGTTCATAACATTTTTCTCGGACACACATCATGGATTAGTTTAAAGAGGAAAAGTTAGGTAAAGTAAACATGATTACTTATGTCCTAACAAGGTCAAAAAGCAATGTACATTCCACACAGGACAAAGACGACAAAGGGTTTACAGAATAACAGCGTAATCATCATCAGGTTAACCCTTTGTGACCCACAGAACAAGTCAGTCAGAGTAGGACTGGGAACATACCCCTCAAACTGAGTTCTAATAGTGAATATGTTTACAATTGTGTTGGTCAAAAATCATAAGAGGAACCATTTATTTCCCGTTCAAAAGCCATAATAAGAAAAGGGAAGAAGACTTCTGTACTGCAGGTGAAACTCGGAAGTTGATTTATTTTAACAATTGTTATTGTTATGATTAGAAGGGGCGGCCTTTGAGCCTGAAGGTTGTGGGTTCTATATCCCACCACGAGACCTGCTCCGTGATGGAACATATGGCTTAAGTCTACTTACAAAAACAGATTGAGATGTTTTATTTGGGGTTTTTACAAGATGTGAGGCTTAATTATTAACACTAAACAAAGGCTTGATATGTGTCACTTCAGATTCAGATTCATTTTATTCGCCATTTGCAGTAACACTACATTGGAATACATTAGTAAATTTAATGAGTGTGTTATATTTTATCCTGTATAAAAATAATTTAAATACATTTTGTAACTTGTGTCACTGTCTCCTTAAGAGAGAGGGACTGCAGTTTAACTTCAGGAAAAACAATGGAGCCAAATGAGGCATATACTATTGTTTCTACATGGAATACTCTTATCAGAATTCTATTTAATTCAATTATGTAGAGCCCTAATTCACCTCAGCCGTCGTCTCGGAGGACTATACAAAGTAGTCAATTCGCCCAGACCTACTTCAGATCTTTTTTTTTTAAAGATCTCAGCGTTATTATTAATATGCCTGGAAATATGCCAACTGAGCCACAACATTCCACTGACCTGGGCGGACACGTCGCCCGTCTTGCCGCGGTGAGGGGCTTCATACGCAGATATCTGAGTGCTGTTGAGTTTTCCCATCTTCTCGGCGAGTTCTCTCCACCGCGACCCCAGCTCCACCGCCGTTGACAGGATCACCGTGTTCTGGATCAGCTGAGCCGCCAGGTTTACAGCATCCATCTTCAACAGGCCCTAAGAGAAGCAAGGACCATCAATACAACAGGCTCTAACAGAACCAGGACCATCAATACAACAGGCCCTAACAGAACCAGGACCATCAATACAACAGGCCCTAACAGAACCAGGACCATCAATACAACAGGCCCTAAGAGAACCAGGACCATCAATACTACAGGCCCTAAGAGAACAAGGACCATCAATACAACAGGCCCTAAGAGAACCAGGACCATCAATACTACAGGCCCTAAGAGAACAAGGACCATCAATACAACAGGCCCTGAGAGAACAAGGACCATTAATACAATTTAAAGAATGGATAGGCATTAAAAGGATAGTGGGAGTATTTGTTTTAGAATGGAAAATAAAACAAGTATCAATGGTGAATAACTGAGAGAACAAGGACCATTAATACAATTTAAAGAATGGATAGGCATTAAAAGGATAGTGGGAGTATTTGTTTTAGAATGGAAAATAAAACAAGTATCAATGGTGAATAATGCTATATTGTAAGTTTAAATGCGTTTACATGTGTGATGTCATAGTGGTGCAATGACATCATACTATTACAGGACTGAGACAGAAGGGGCAGAGTTACGTGTTTGTGCCATTAAGTTACTGATATTAGTGTGGACTGGATCTAAAAACAATCCCAGGTCTGTTTTTTTATGAGGGAATAATGTTGGAAGATGGTTAAAAACTCCAGAAAGTGCCTGGGTTTGGATCATTGTGAGACAGGTATAGTGTTGTTGTATAAGTAATTATTATAACGTTCTTACATGAATGAAGTCTGTATGTGTAGGGTCAGAGAGTGTTTGGGGATGTGTCTTCAATCAATCAATCAATCAATAAAACCGAGGTGTTCCCAGGTCAACTAATGCCGCTTTTCCATAGTCATGGTACGGCAAGGTACAGCGCGGCGCGGTGCGGCGCGGCCGAGTGTGGGTGCTTTTCCATTAAATATAGCACCTCCAATTATGTCCTCAGTGTGGGAGGGGTTGTCAGACCACGTCATTTACGCGCAACACGTACCTAGTAACATTGGTCTGAAGCGTCACTTTTTGTCAATTGACATGATTTTTTTTTATTTCGAGTTCAATACATAGACACACCCTCCAAGTGTGTCCTAGGTCTTTCCCTGGGCATCCTCCCACAATCGAAACACATAGATAAGCATTCTAAAGCAATAGTAAGCGCTTCATAATGTACACGTCCTCCCTCAAGTCAAATTTGGTTATGAGAAGAAATATGCAGTAGGTAAAGAGTTCTTAAAGATATATCTATTTTATTTTATTGTTTTTTTATTATCATATTTGAACAGCTTACATTTTATATGTATCATCTAATGTTTTGCTAGGTGAAGAAACAGTTCAGAACATTCAAATAAACAAGAGCAAAACACAACATAGAGGAGAAGACATGAGCAAAAATTAGAGCTTCCTAAAAACACAAAAAAGAATGACATTTCTATTGCCCTTTTTTTTCAATATCGAGCAGCTCTATTGTTGTCTTAAAAATGTGATCTAGTTATATGAGGATTACTATTCATTCAACTAAATTGCTCAAATTTGGCAAATTTGAGCACATTTTGACTGCTTTGAGTGCATTCTTACTGTCTTAAAATAAGATTTGCCAATGGGACAAGCAACATGATCCTGTTTCAAAAAGAAGAAAAGTCTTCCTTGGAATGAGAAAATAAAGCAACAGTTAATGAAGTAGGACTAAATGGCTTTGTCTCATTGGCAAATCTTGTTTTAAGACAGTAAGAATGCACTCAAATTACAATAAAAACCACTAAATTCAAGCAATTATATTCTCATATTTTTTTTATTTTTGGCAGTGTAGCAGTGCAGGCTAGAATTGATTTTCCACTTACAATAATGAGTTCATGCAGAAACTTCCTCTTGCTCTTATCAGTGTGACAGTCCTCCTTCAGCCTCTCCAACACACTGGCCACTTTGTCCACTTCACTCTCCGTGTAGCACCTCGTGATGGTGTCTAGGGTCAGATTGTGATAGCCTAACGAACTGGCAAAGTCTCTCCAGCTGCTTATATGATCCGTCACCATAGTCTGAATGGCAGAATACATGTACGTCAGCTTTTTAAAGGGCTGCGTCATGTTGTTGAGTAGCACCTCTGTCGTCATATGAATCCCAGTGAAGTCCATTACTTGATCTTTGGCTATGAGCTTGACGTTTTTGCAGTGAATTAACCCAATCCGGCCTCGGAGAAACCCAATGTACCACTCTTTTACTTTGAAATTGCCAACTGATTTGACAGTGTCTTTGGAGAGAAGAGCCATAGTGTCTCCTTTAAAATACTCCAGCAGGTAATCCACTCGCGGCTGTCTGAGAACCGACTTCAGAGCAACTCCGTACCACTGCAGATTCACCGGGTTGTCTTGGAATATTGGAAAAGCTGGCACGCTCTCCTCAGGAATTGTTGGACTTGTGGGGATCTCCAGTCGCTTTTCAGAGTTCCTTGGTCGCTTTTCACTGCGCAGTGGTGCCGCGGTTGGCGAAACCACTTGGAACTGAGCTACGGTTTCAGCGTTTGCTTCTTTAACACATAACGCAAGCGTGAAAGGCTCCATGTGACCTGTCCTATCGCATGATAAAGCAACCGGCAGATGCAAAACGGTGCCTATTTTAAGCTGGCTTTTTCTGACCTCTTTAAGCGCGTCTTCGGGAGGGATTTTGAACACCGTCTCCATCACGCTGATTGCGATTTTCATGTCGTTAAGCTTGTCTGGTTTCAAGTGATGTTTCCCCCAGAGCTGCAAGACTAGAGGGGGTAGAGTTTTGTTGCCTCTGCAGACGTCTGAAAATGGTAGCTTCGGTGGGACATCGTCGTGACAGCACGCCACTATTACGACTTTAAATGACGGATGGATGTAGCGAGGACCATAAACTGCCACGGTGATCGGTCGGTCCAGATAATCCCACACTGAAGTGGCGGGGGGCTCGATGGCACAAGCCTCCGCCACGGCAATTATGTAAAAATGCGTCTTCAAATCCTGCAGCTTCATTTGCATTGTGTTTCTGGAAATGGAACAATCATCCATTTTGACATAGGGGCCTTCTCTCTTATTCGACGTCAATCCGGTGACAGTGGTCATGAGCTGGCTGGTCTGATCAGCACGCACCTCTCCAGAAAGCTTCATGTCTAGAGAAATGCACTTTTTCGTATTGATGTTGCTAAGGATCACTTCCACCAAGGGGCTCATGGTCGTCGTGTAGTTGTTATTGAGCCCAGGGGGAGGGTCCAATGTTGCTTTCAGGGTCACTTCTTGCACTTCCCCGGGCGCCACATGGCCTTCTGGGAAATGGATGCTTACCTGTGAGTCGGGTAGCTGAACAGAGTCTCCTGTGTGTCCGATCTTGCATATCACCTGGAAGTCTGTGGCCTGGGTTTGAGCCCAACCTTTGCTTTGGCTCATTAAGTTTAGATCGAGACAGGAGCGAGTGAGCTGCCGATGGCTCAACCAGGCCATTTTATAGGCTTCCCTGTCGTCTTTTAACCATTCAAAATCCGGGTTTAAGACAGTCCCGGGTGGTTTTGAGACACTATTGGCGCGTTTTGGCGGTTTTTTTTCCAATTCGTCCAAAATGTCAGAAGCGCTTCTCCACCGTCCTGACTTGTTGCTGAATTTGTTCCTGTTTTCCAAATGGTTTCCGATATTTCCTTCGTCTGAGGATGTGCTCGCTGCGTCCTCATTGTTGGTGTTATCTTGTTTGGCTTCGATCGGAACAGAATGGTTTTCATTTGCATGGCTTGACACGATGTCGTCTAGAAAAGGATTGGATCCAGACTTGTTCCAGAAAGGGTTTTTTGTCCCTGCGGACTTTGGGCCATCTGTGCGGTCCAAGTTTGCTTGGAGCCCACCTGAAAAACATGGTGATGTAGTTTTAACCATCTACAACAAATTATTGGCAGATTTACTGATTTGTAATCTCACCATTTGGGCTGCTGGTAAAAACATCGTCATCTACATCAACTAATGTTCCCTCAGATCTGCTCCGCTTCAGATTCCCGGCACATTGGATCAACTGTATTCTTTTGTCCGCCATTTCTCATCTGTGAATAAAAAACATACATGTAAAGCACCATTGTTCACTTCAAAGGATTCAACATCAAACTAGAGTTTATTTATATACTCCTATTTATATATCATTAATTTATATACTGTGCAGTCCTGAAGGGATAAATCATGAAGACACTTAAAAACAAAGTATCACAGAAGCAACATTGTAAAAAGACAAAGTAGACATATAAAAGTAACAGAAAGCACATAATAATAATAATGTCAGAATGTATGATATAGAACCACATGTGTTACTGTTCCATCACTGAGTCACTTAATCTTAATGTTGATAAATCTGATCTACAGATTGGGTATATTAAATTACGCAATAGGACTACTGGGTCAAATTAACCCACTTTGAACTTTTACTCATACAACATTGTTTTGTGGTTATTCAGAGGACAAATAACTGTTAAACAATACAATCAGACACAATATGTAATAATAATAATAATAATAATAATGCATTGGTTTTATATAGCGCATTTTTTGGACACTCAACGACGCTTTACATGTCATTATTCTTTCACTCCATACACGGTGGTGATAAGCTACTACTGTATCCACAGCTGCCCTGGGGCACACTGACAGAAGCGAGGCAACCAGTATGTGCAATCGGGCCCTCCAACCACCACCACCAACCATTCACACACACACACACACCAGACTCATTCTAGGCAATGGGGGTAAAGTGTCTTGCCTAAGGACACAACAGCAGTTTGGCACTTTACAGCCGCCCACTGTGGCATCAGGTGTTCCCAGAGGTTAAGTGTCTTGCCAAGGACTAAACGACAGCAGACAGTGGGAGTTGATGGTGAAAGTCTTGAGGTGGGCTCGAACCCACGACCTTCTGGCTTAAGATTAATGTAAGGTATATTTCATTGCCCCCTGTATTTGACCCATCCTTCCATTCCACGAGGGCAAGAGGTTGTGGGGGAAACTGGAGACAGGAAACCAGACGCAAACATTTTTTTCCAGATGTAAAAAACGTTGAATGATTTAAACTGCCGACCTTTTTGCTCTGAGACCTGAGAACTAGCCGAGGGGTTCAGCCAGTACATTTAGAGATAGAGGGCAAGATAGAGACGCCAAAATAGAGGGCACTTGAAAATCACTTTAGGCAGCACAGTGGCCGAATGGTTAGCACTCGAGCTTCTCAGCAAGGAGGTCCTAGCTTCGAATCTCGGTCGGAACAGGGCCCTTCTGAGTAGAGTTTGCATGTTCTCTCCGTGCCTGCGTAGGTTTCCTCTGGGTGCTCCGGTTTCCCCTACCACTAAAAACATGTACAATAGCTCCACTCTCTGAGGGGCCAGGACTCCCCTGAAGAAACTAAACCCACGGAGCTGCCAATCTGTGATTTCAGGAGTAAAACCTGCAGGGGACTATTTTCAGTCACCTGTAATCTAGTCCAAGTTAAATGTAGTAAATGTAAGACGGTCTAAGGACAGTGGTGAAGATCCACAACACTCGACATTCAACAACATTTATGGACTTCATCTACATTTATGGACATTGGTCACCTGTCAATGACCAATGGCTCTACATGTTTTTATCATGCATTTCTTGTGTTTGAACTGTTTTATTGTCTGATCTGTGTTGTTAAATTCGACGGTTTTCTAAAGTCCTCCGAGATAACTACTGCTGGGATTTAGGGCTATACAAAAATACATTGAATTGAATTGAATTAAATTGAATGAAGGTTTTTTTGTGTTTGCTTAAGACACTAACATGTGGTTTTATTAAAATGACAAAATGTATTTATGTATTAATCAGTTCGATACCATCTAAAACTTCTATCTACAAAACAAAATCTCCAATTCTTTGTCTATTGCCTGGAAACACATAGATACTGTACATTTGTGGTGTGGCCTTCCAGTTTTTGACACATAATGGATGTGCAACTGTTGTTATTGTTGCGTTTCAACACAGTTTGCGCCTGGAGCTGTCAGAGAAACCACTGTCAGTTCAAAAAGCACAAGCTATTTACTCTGTCACTTGTTTGTAAGACAGGACACTCACCCATTCACAGCTCTTCTTAGTGACTCACTCATTTATAATGGGCCTTCTTACACTAGCCACTGCACGGAACAGAACAGGTTGGTCTTGTCAAGCCTCTGAAACTCTATAAGTGACTTTCTTTTGTATTTCTGGCAAAAATCAAAGAGTGTTTTGATTGGATTCAAAACATCAGCTCACAAACCATAGCCATTTCAACCAAAATGAGAAACTTCAGCCTTACAATATAGTGAGTAATGTTAATTTATATGGCGCATTTTACAGACCAAGGTCACCCAAAGCGCATTACAATGTTCAGAAATCAGATATGTTTATAGACAGCCAAATAAATGATTATAATATTGTCATCAAAGTATCAGAGTATCAAATGTATTCCTCTATTCTGTAAGCAGGTAGGGATTCATGGGGACAATGTTTACTATATATTCTCTCAGCAGAAAGTCAAAACAAAGCAACAATGACAGGTGCCTACAGAACAGGTGCTCCTGGACTTACATATTCATCACATAGCGCACAGATTCTACTGCTATTATAACATGTACATTATTCAAAAGGGAAAAGTTAAACTCTCACCGACTGCATGAGTTGTTCGCAATTTAGTTGGATTGCAAAAAAGTTTGGTAGTAAACAAAATGCGCAGTCTTCTTTAGTCATTTAGGCAGATTTGTGAGGCGTAACCCAAATCTTTGCGCTCCTCACGTTTCAGCGGCGGTTCGCTGCGTGCCACAGGGCATTTTGGGACTGGGAGTTTCAAATAAGACACGCAAGCCCAGAAAAGGAGTGGCCTTTGAAGAACAGAAGAACTACAATTCCCACAATGCACTGCGCAGTTTGGGTATATGACGGGAAGCTTGCGACACCTGAAACTGCGTCTGTGGTTTCGGCTGTGATAAGAGTGGACGCAGTGCAAACACGACCTATCTCCGCATCTGAAGGTTATGTTTGTTTGGCCGGCAGCAGGTGGAGGCTTTAGTGGCAGAAGCGGTTTGAAAAGGCTGGGGAATAAATGTGCATATACCTATTGGACTGGACTTCGATTGTTTTTATTTAGTGAAATGTTATTGTGCTGATTCAAAGCGCTTTGAGGCAGTGCCGGTGTGTTATATAGAAGGCCCATAGCAGAATTGGAAATGAGGGCCCCACTTTGACTTTGTCTAAATATTTGGGAAGAAATTTACTAATAAAAAACATGAAAAGATGGAAGAATAAAAATGTCTTACAGGCTCTTGGTTTTATAATAATTATAGTTATTTGCATCCAGTCAGGTAAAGTACAATGTAACATGTATCATTTGTGAGGCAGTCTTGGGGCCCTACTAAGTATGATAGTCCGCTTGTTGCGTATAGGTCATAGACTGTAGTATAGATTCAAATAGGGTACCTTCTCCACCAACTCCCACTGATCTCTGCTGTTTTTGTGTCCTTGTGCAAGACACTTGACCCCACTTTGCCTGAAGCTCCTGCTGAAAGATCAAGTCTGTACCGTCACCGACAGAGCATGCTGCCATCCTCCTATGGACTCACCACCTGGAGGATCAGTGAGGGGCTGGTGCTCTGTGGATTGGGTGCAGCTTTGAATACCACCCCCGACCCAGAAGTTGACCAAGGGGAATTTCCCCTGGTGAAGATGAATGGATGGAGATTCAAATAAAAGCTTCCAATATATTTCATATTTGTATTACATTTAAATGAAATGTACCTTTTCACTGAGCATGCTCACATCTCCACCAACCCGACACGTACTTGTCCCACATAGTTTTGATATTATTGATCTCTTTTGTATGTTGAGATGCCACCAAGTTTGTGTTTACTCTGTTGGATCCTCTAACAGCTGCAGTATATTCAAAACGCCAGTCCAGTTTTCAGGTGTCTGCACTGGCTTCCTGTCAGGACTAAACATGGGGAGGCATCATTTCGGTATAGGCCCCTATCTGATGGAATCTTCCTAAACCCTCATTTCGAGTCCAGGCTGCCCTCAGTTCTATTTAGCTGTGAGTATGACTGAGTTTTATGAATTGAGTTTTTATTCTGGCTTTGAGTATTGAGTTTATTTTAGAAATATTTTACCTAAATGTGTATGATTTTATGTCTTTGTAAAGATCTTTAAAAACTAAACTTGAGTCATTCGTATAGTCCCTTTATGTAACCTATTGATATAAGTAATGTATTATTAGTATGTATCGATCCCACGCTTTTGCCACTTGGGGGCAGCAGTTCCTTACTTTTCGTTCTAACTGACTAGTACCGCTGTATTTGTCCTGAAGTCACACAGAGAAACGTGCAAGTCAGTGCACGTTTCTCTCAGTGCAGTATGTGCTATGAACTGTCTCCTGTGGTGTGAAATAGTACACATTATGTGCACATCATTTTGTGAATCTCAGTTATGGCTGATGCTCTCTGAATGTTCTCATGCTGCAGGTGTTGGAACCCCAATTAGGATCAATTATGACTCTCACATTCATTTGTTGGGTTGTAGTTTATTATTTTCATTTTAATTAGACCTAAACCTTTAAATCCTCTGTATGTTGTTCTGATGTTCTTCTAGGCCAGGGGTCTTCAGCCTGTAGCTCACCACCCCCTTCCAAGTAACTCCCCAAAGAATTCCAGAATTTAACACGTGCATTTCATGTCTATTTTATCTATAAATGTTTTCCTTCTGTACACGATTGCAGGTACATTTGAATTTGGTGGAAACGGCTGCAAGTCCTGAGTAGCTCTGAAACAGTTTTCAATTGTTATGTTTCTTCCTTTTTTTTGCCTGAGATGTTGCTGCAGTGCAGTGTTCATGGTTTTACACTGGTCCAGACCAGAGCAGAGAGGATTCATGGTCCAAACCAAGCGGATTGAAAAAAGCTAATAAAGCATTCAGCATCTCACTTTGGACTAGAGCAGAGGAAATGGTTTGAACCCAGCACCTCTGCTGCTGTGACCTAAAGTGCTGTTGTATTTTATTACTATTGTTAACTACGTT